TCTAAGAAATTATAGTGGCACAGTGTGTATTACAGAACAAACTCTCTATATTACCTCAGCCTGGTTAATAGTAAAATGATGGCAGTGGATTTCATTTGAAGAATCATATTAAGTCTCTCATTCCGGTGGTTCCCAGTTCCTAACATTTAAATATACAGTTGGTTCAGCAACCAGACTCCCTCTTCCTTTTGAGAAGAGGGAGTATGGTTATAATTTTGGCTGAGCAGCGTTGGGATTATTTTCTATATTTTTCCCCATCTGTAAATTATTTGAAAAAATCTTTACTTCGTTGCTTTATTATAGAGGGGTTCCATGACTTCCCTGGATCTAGACACTAGACTCCTATTGATACAGGCCAAAATCCCATTGGCTTTTTTTTGCTGTAGCATCACATTATTGGCTCATGTTTAACTTGTTGTCCACGAGGACTTCAATATATTTTCACACGTACTGCTCTCGAGCCATGTGTCCCCATTCTGTATCTTGGCATTTCCTTTTTTTCTGCCTAAGTGGAGTATTTTGCATTTCTCCCCATTGAACTTCATTTTGTTAGTTTTGGCCCATTTCTCTAATCTGTTAAGATCGTTCTGAATTCTGTCCTAATTATATAGGCTGCCTAGTTGTGATCTAGTTTGTGAAATGCAATGTTGAAGTCATGATTTGCAAACCTAGTTCATGTTGTGATTTCAAATATTGATTTAGTGATTGTCCTCCATGATAGTCTAACTTAGCCTCCCCAAAGTCTAATGACCTATAATTCTCAGCAACTATAACTGAGATGGGCAGAGATAAAGAATGACGGAATAATGCATCTGATGGGCACTACGTTGGTGATGGTTGATATCAGACTAAATGCAATACTTAGCTGTGGTTTAAGAAATATTGTGACTTAAATATGACGCCTGTTTAGTAAAACATTAAAACCATGGGCAGAACATTCTTTAAAAAGGATGGAAATTTGTTACTTAATTTTCACATCCACACAAAGATATTATCAAAAGTTTTATCCCAATTAGGCAAGTGTGTGAGCATTGTTGTGCACATTATATGATGCCTTTTGAACTATAGGACTCTTCTGTGAAAAATCTGAGTTTTTGCATTAAAAGTTAGAATTTTTAACAGGAAACTGAAATCAAAGTTAAGTTGAGCAAACAAATGTTTTTCAAAAAGTCCCAATGGCATCTCACTCTGTTACAAACCCCTTTTGCATCAAGGGCAATGATATCGTTAAATCCCTGTGTACCCTCCATTTCAACACAGTTTATATATACCAAAGGCACAACCTGGGAATCTCTCTTTACCTTTTGAACGGTCCCATACCGCTGAATGGCATCAGAAAGTTGGTTCTTCAGGCGGTCCAGTTGAAGCCGCTCTTGCTACATAAAGCAAAAAGATAAAAAACAAACACTATTAACACAGGAAAAGGGGTCTTTATGTTTGTGTCATCAGTCATTTGCAGACAATGTAATTCAGGGACAACTCTGAGTCCTAAACTGAACATAAGTTCAAGCATATAAGGTCTATGGGGAGACATGACTTTGAACCTTCTCAGCAATGAATATCTCCTAGTGATCTTGATCCAATTACTGTTTCTCAAAGGGTTTGGTGTGTATTGACCTTCAGTTTTGAAGTTGTAGTTCACCTACATCCAGAGAGCATTATGGACTCAAACAATGATAGATCTGGATCACACTTGGCCTGAATACTCAATATGCCCAAATGTGAACACTGGTGGAATTTGGGGGAAATGGACCCAGACATTTGGGAGTTGTAGTTACTGGGATTTATAGTTCTCCAACAATCATAGAGCGTTCTGGACTCCACCAACGATGGAATTAGTCCAAACTTGAAAATACTGGAAGGGCTTGGTGGGTATTGTTCTTGAGTTTTAGAGTTGTAGTTTACCTTCATCCAAAGAGCACTGTGGATGCAAATCATGATGGATCTGGACCAAACTTGGCACCAATACTCAATATGCCCAAATTTAAACACTGGTGGAGTTTGGGGAAAATAGATCTTGATATTTGGGAGTTGCGGTTGCTGGGATTTATAGTTCACCTACAATCAAAGAGCATTCTGAACCCCACCAGATAAATTGGGCCAAACTTCCCAAGCAGAATCCCCATACCTTGAGGGGACCTGCTGGATGGAGCCTTCCTCCAGCCTCACATGCTCTCCCTTGCCTCACACATGTGCACCATGCTGCCATGCGCCGAGCACACCTTCTCTCCCCTCCCCACTTGAAGTCTTCAAAACACCCTTCCTCTTTGCTGCAAGGCCGGTTGAAAGGATGGCCAATCACAGCGGAGGAAGACTTTTGGTGGGAAGGATTCGCTGTCTGTTTCCAAAAAGGAAGAGAAGGACAGATGGAGAGATCTTCAGCCTTCTCTGCCAAAGGGGTTCCTAAGACCATCAGAAATATGTGTTTTCTGATGGTCTTTGTTGAATCCTCTAAAAACCCCCATGCCCCCCCCCCCCCCCCCCCCCCCCAATTGAGAAACGCTGGTATAGAAGAACAAGACCCAATGGGTAACATTTTGATAAGGGCATTTTTAATTGTTTCACAAGGTCTTTCATGCATTGAACCTGTTGGCTGTGCTAATCTGCTGCCTTTAACTGCTCGTGTTTGGTTTAATTTAGATATTTTATGTTATTGGCAGGTGTGTTTTACTGTCCTTTCAATTTGATTCATGGGCCTGTGCCATTTTGAGGGCTTGCCTGGGCCATATTTCCTCCAATCTATGGCTCCCACTGAACAAATTGCTATTCTCAGTAAACAAGATTTAACGCCTTGGTGTCAGTTTTCTTTCATTAAGAACATCATGCCATTGTGAAAGTGAATCACAAAGTCCTGTTTCATTGCAGTGCCAGGGCAAAGATGCAAGGACATTCCATTGTACGCAGCTGACAAATACTCTTGCAAATGCAATCACCGGAAAAGGAATCCGCTGCCAGGGCTCGTAGTCCTGGACAAAACGCTTCTGAATGATAAAAATGCATACAGAGAGTAACTGTAGATAGATAGATGATGGGGAGCACTGATTGTTATTTATATTGTGTGAGGAATGAATAGGAAAAGAGACATAAGCAGGGAGACCATGATTGCATTTAAAATATGCTGATCAGATGTGTACGACTGAACAAAATGCACAGGACAGTAAGAAAGGTGTCACACAGCTATGTAATTCAGAGAATGACTGTAAGCAAGACACATAAGGGATATAATTCCAAGCAACCAGGGAAAGCAATGTTTTGCCAGGGAATCAATATTGAGGAGCATTTCCATGCTTATATTGTAAGAGGAAAACTCTACTTTCAGATTGTTATTTCTTATCAAATAGGGCCAGTGGTTTCTGAACCTGGGGGTCGGGACCTCTGGGGGGGGGGTCACAAGGGGGTGCCAGAGGGGTCACCAAAGACCATCAGAAAGCACAATATTTTCTGTTGGTCATGGATGATCTGTGTGGGAAGTTTCACCCAATTCTATCATTGGTGGGGTATAGAAGGTTCTTTGATTGTAGGTGAACTAGAAATCCCAGCAACCACAACTTCCAAATGTCAAGGTCTATTTTCCCCTAACTCCACCAGTGTTCACATTTGGGCATGCTGAGTATCTGTGTCAAGTTTGGTCCAGATCCATCATTGTTTGAGTCCGCAGTGCTCTCTGGATGTAGGTGAACTACAACTCCAAAACTCAAGGTCAATGCACTCCAAATCCTTCCAGTAATTTATGTTGGTCATGGGAGTTCTGAGTGGAAGGTTTGGTCCAATTCCATCATTGGTGGAGCTCAGAATGCTCTTTGATTGTAGGTGAACTATAAATCCCATCCTCCCCTATGAACCATCAAGATTGCTAAGATCGTCTGGAGGGGCCCTGCCCTCAATCCCACCGGCCTCACAGGCACGGCTGGTGGGGACGAGAGACAGGGCCTTCTCGGTGGTGGCCCCTCGACTCTGGAACTCCCTTCCACTGGAGATCAGAACTGCCTCTTCTATCTTAACATTCAGGAAACAGATGAAAACTTGGCTTTGGGGATTGGCATTCGACGAATGAGCCATGATTCTGTGATATGGATGGATGACGACGAATAATGATTTTTGATGACGACTGACCACTGTAATTATATGATTGTATTTTGCTATTTTAATGTTTTAGTGTGATTTAGAATATGATGTTTTAATGACTGTCTGTAATATTGATGTTGGAAACCGGCCTGAGTCCCTCGAACGGAGGGACTTCAACTCCCAACCCCACTTCAACTTCAACTCCCAACCCCACCAGTATTCAGATTTGTGCATATTGGGTGTTTGTGCCAAATTTGGAGCAGTGAATGAAAATACATCCTGCATAATATATAAATTTACATTACGATTCATAACAGGTGAAAAATTACAATTATGAAGTAGCAATGAAAATAATGTTATAGTTGGGGGTCTCCGCAACATGAGGAACTGTATTAAGGGGTCGCAGCATTAGGAAGGTTGAGAACCACTGAAATAGGCATTGACTCGAGGTGACCTGAGAGTCCTGTCCATCAGCTGGATTCACAAAGTCTGATAAATCCAGAACTGGATTATATGGCAGTGTAGATCCAGCCACATTCCTTAAAACCTCATTGAGTCACCAATAGTATAGTTAAATCTATATAAATAAAAATGTAATGTTCGTTTGTGGGATTAACAGAACTCAAAAACCACTGGACGAATTGACACCAAATTTGGACACAAGACACCTAACAACTCAATGTATGTTCTTCACTCAAAAAATTGATTTTGTCATTTGGGAGTTGTAGTTGCTGGGATTTATAGTTCACCTACAATCAAAGAGCATTCTGAACCCCACCAACGATGGAATTGAACCAAACTTGGCACACAGTTCTCCCATGACCAACAGAAAATACTGGAAGGGTTTGGTGGGCAGCATCCTTTGGTTTGGAGTCGTTGTTCACCTAGATCCAGAGAGCACTGTGGACTCAAACAATGATGGATCTGGACCAAACTCTACAAGAATACTCAATATGCCCAAATGTGAACACTGGTGGTGTTTGAGGAAAATAAAATCTTGACATTTGGGAGTTGTAGTTGCTGGGATTTATAGTTCACCTACAGTCAAACAGCATTCTGAACACCACCAACAATAGAATTGGGCCAAACCTCCCACACAGAACCCCCATGTGGGCTACAGAAACACGTGGCGGGGGGACGGCTAGTGTGTGTGTGTGTCTGTGTATACACACACACACACAATATTTGTTCAGCCCGCCTTTCTCAGCCATATGGCAACTCAAGGCAAGTTACAGATTGGCACAATTCGATGTCAGGGATTCATAAAAGTGCCATTAAAAACATCCACATTACAATATAAAACATATATAAAAACAATTTAAGCATATAATCATCGGTGTTATCTTGTTAAAAACGTTATCCAGTAGCATCGTCTGGCCATTCCATGTTCATTATTCATAGTTCCGCTGCATTCTCAAAAGCTTGCTCAAAGAGCCAGGTCTTTACTTTTTTCGGAAAGTCAGAAGGGAAGCTGACACAACAAAGGAGTAGTGTGTTCCCTGAGCGCCGCTCCTGTTAGTAACCTGGCTGCCGCCCACTGGGCCATTTGAAGCTTCTGAACAGTCTTCAAAGGCAAACCCACATAGAGCATGTTGCAGTAGTCTATACAGGATGCAACTAGAGCATGGACCACCGTGGCCAAGTCAGACTTCCCAAGGTATGGGCGGAGCTAGCACACAAATTTTAACTGTGCAAATGCTCCCCTGGTCACCGCCGAAAATTGGGGGTTCCAAGCTCAGCGATGATATACTATCAAATATGGCTATTCAACTTCTGTCTAAACACTTTCAAAGAAGAAGAGTGCATAATCCTCTAAAGCAGTCTATTTCACTCTCAAACAGCTCCTATTACCAAGAGGTTCTTCTTAATGTTTACACTAGTATTGTGAACCTGTAGGTGCACCCAACCCTTACCAAGGAATACAATGACTTTTGAATAAACATGCATAGACCTATTATACAAGTTTTGTTTTATTTGGGCAATGCAAAATATAGATTTTTTATTTTTACTTCTACACTCTTCATTCAGGTGCTCCAGAGAAATCAATATGTGGCAGCATTAAGAAAAGAAATCAAACCAAACACAAGCAAAGTGATCTATTGATTCAACAGGCTGACAACACTGATGATGGTTGTAGTTTAGAGATGCACTTGCTTGTATATTCTTTAAAAAAACAAACTATTATCCCATCCGATAGAACAGTGGCTCTCAACCTGTGGGTCCCCAGGTGTTTTTGCCTACAACTCCCAAAAGTCCCAGCCAGTTTACCAGCTGATAGGATTTCTGGGAGTTGAAGGCCAAACCATCTAGG